ATGCTGCAGCTATGTCAGTGGTATAGTTGTAGCACGAATGGGTCGGCTCGACCGGGGAAGGACCACGATCTCACAGAACACCAGCGTAAAATAGCAGCTTAACGCTGCTGTTTTTCGTATGGTGAGTGTAGAGAACCAGAGACCCTTTTTACTGGCAAAGAGGCATTCCATCTTAGTCCTCTTGGGTGACAACGCATCTTCATCTTGAGTCAGTAGTGTAGTTGTACCACTTCTAGACCACCTGAGTCAGACGTGGTTCAACGACGTTCGTCGACACACGATCCTAAAAAAAATAAAATAAAAAAAAAAATAAAGGTTTTGGCATGCTCTGATCACGAATCTGCGGTCCATTTTTGTGTAGGATGCACGGTTCTGGAGATGGGCAGATCAATTAGCTAATATCTAATTGATATCCGGTTAGGGCCTCCACCGTCATTAGCGTCCCATTGTTCCTATTTCTATTGTTCTATTGTTCATTAATCACCTTCATTGCAGCGTGTGCGTCGACTATATCAGTGCTATTGTATTATACTTCTTTGTTCCTAATTATACAACGCTAATCTGAATCATCAATAAAACACATTACATAATTTTGTTACAATTTTTATTTATAAAATACAAAATCTTATTACTTATTATCTATAAAATAGGAGCGAAACATCTCATCCACTAAAATATCGTTGTACAATGTGTTCCTTGTAAATATACTCGTAAAACTATGTATTGAACATCCTTGAAACTTATATAGCAAATACATTAAGCAATATTCGCCACAAACTGAAGTCCACTCATTCTGAATCCTATCAACATTCCAGTTCCATCTTTTACAATTCCTTTTTAAAAACTCTAGATGATATCGTACAGGTGATCGTCCATATGAATCAAAATATTGACCGACGTCATTCGTATCGATATATAAAGCTACCCAATGTGACCCTGGTTTATCATCTGTATCCAAATTAAATATTATATACGTTGGTACGTGGGTATACATAGGCAGTCTATTAGCTGCATAAACATTATTTTCTAGACTGGGGTGAATCTTTTTCAGATGTTGTTGTACATCTAGTGTATCCATGATATTACTGCTATTAGTAGATTATTACAGTACCAATCTACTCAATGAATAACATAGGAATGGTCAATTATAGTGATTTCTAAATATTAAATTGCATTTTTGTGTTATACAAATCGTACTTGAGTCATTGATCACCAAACAAAACACAATACGAAGAAATGTTGAGATAGGCAACGGAAATGTGAGATAAACTGATATGTTTCTAAATATTAAATTGCATTTTTGTGTTATACAAATCGTACTTGAGTCATTGATCACCAAACAAAACACAATACGAAGAAATGTTGAGATAGACAACGGAAATGTGAGATAAACTGGTTGACGCATAAAGTAATTATCAACTCATTACGGAAATACTTTAGATTAGAATTTTTACGTACTGGTGGTATATAAGACCAACAGACGCAGTCATCGAGTTAGTGTACGGTCGTTTGACTACAGTAGATCTATCAATAGTACATTTGTGTTACTTCAATACACCAAAGGCTATGGATGTAAGTGTTTATTCTATTGACTAAATTACTTTTTTTTCTGTTATTTTCATGTGTGTGTATTATTTTATTTAAATATTGTGTATGTATATGATTAAGCCGTGGTAACTCAGATGGTTAGCGCTAGCTGTAAATTTCACAGTACGCGACCCGGGTTCGATCCCCGCCAGCACCAATTAAAATGTTAATCGCAATTTTAAGTGCTTATTACCACGTGCTTGGTGGTGAAGGAAAACATCGTGAGGAAACCTGCATGTCTGAGAAAATTTCGAAGGCATGTGAAGTTCGCCAACACACATTGAGGGAGCGCGGCGGACATTTCCTTGCTCTAAAACCCTCTCAGAAATGAGAGGAGGCCTATGTTCAGCAGTGGACTTTAATAGGCTGTAACTTTAACTTTTTTAACTTTTATGATTAAGTGTTAACAAATTGATATTAACATGATAACTGTGTTGTTGCAGAAATCATTGAGCTTCGATGAAGATACCTATAAACAGTATTACTACTCGCCACTCTCCCCTCAAGAAGAGAGTGATGACCTCGTCATTAATAATAACACATGCGATGGTGGAAAAAGAAAATCGCAATCGATTGATCATTTTTTTGAAGCTGAATCAAAAATAAAAAAGAGGAAGCTGTTATCATCAACCGTAGCACGAGCCGCTAGAGATGGTGTATCATACATTTCTACTAATTCTGACGACGGAGACCAAGCGACGCATCTCATCAAAATTGAAATGTACGATATGAAGAAGCTATCCAAGATTCCAACTACTGATCATTGGAAACATGCTTCCACGAGAATTAAATATTACGTAAAGACTAATAAGGATAGCATCTACGACAACACAAACGCCCTCGTATACAATATAACAAAGACAATAGCAGAAAGTGAAAAAGTTAAAAAATACTTTTTTAACAATGACAGTCATTAGCTGATCATTAGTGAATGTGATTCTGTTTACTTCAATTACAGGAAGACAAGAGCGGAAGGAAGAGATGAGTGTGGCATACGTGTACAAAACACATCATTGAATAACAAAACTACAACACTGAGTGGAGAAGAAAACGAGAAGAGTATGCAGTACTCAAGAGCTGAATATCCATTCTTCAGTTCAAAATCTAGCCGTTTGCTTAGTTTCGAAAACTGGCCTCTCGTTATGCGACAGAAACCTGAAGATCTTGCAGAAGCTGGTTTCTTTTATACTGGCCAGGCAGACGGGACCAAGTGTTTCCATTGTGGTGGTGGTTTAAAAGATTGGGAAGATGATGATGATCCTTGGCAGCAGCATGTTCAGTGGTTTAGTCAGTGTGCTTATGTAAAATTTCAACTCGAACAGTGTTTTGTATTAGATTAAATAGAAGATTTATAAAGAAATAAAAAAAAATATATTGCATACAATTTGTTTTATTTAATTTTATAACGTTTCACATAGTTACATACACACAAAATGCATTACACATAACACATAAAATCTAACACACAACACATATTATAACCTTAACTACTATAGTCTACAGTAACATTTCTGTTTTTATCTATCTCAATAATATTATCAAACTCAGCATAAACTATACAGTTAATTGTTTGTATTAATGAGGATTCAAATCGTACTTCTATTCTTACACTACCATGCTTTATGAGATTCCAATGAGTTGATGAGTTAGCTGATAAATCAGGAGTTAAGTCAAATGCTAATAGACAGTAACCTTTGCCATACTGTTCACAAGAGATTCCATTTCCTTCATTAAGAAAGTGAATACCAGTTCCCGAGAATAGAGTATGATATGCTGATGTAAATATGCTATTATTAAAAGATGGTTGCAAAGCTTTTGAAGGTATTTGTTGACCATCAATATATAAGCTGAAAGAATTAATACCATAGTTTTCAAAGTTAAATGGATTTTTAGTAAGGGAACCATTAAATGCAGAATTGTTCACAAATCCAATTATACATCTTTTCGGTACCTGTCCTAAAAATATATTATCAAGAGTTTTTCCTTGAACACCCGAAGGAATTGTTAAAACTTTTACTTCAGCTCGAGTAATAGGATATTTAGCAGTGGTAGAAGCTAAATCTTTTTGATGTGCGAGTAATACACTTGGATTAATTCGTGCTCGTCGAACAATAAGAGTTGCGTCCGTAATGCAAACTTTAAACTTTACATCGTTTGACCCAACAATTAAATTAAAACTCTCTCTTGATCGAACCAATTTAACACTCATTTCAACACCATTAATTAAAAATTTATCTTGGTTAAAAATGTCACCGTGAAGATGACCAATCATTTCTATTTCCTTACTTTCACTAATCAATTCCTGTCTTTTAACAAATCCTATGTTTTTACCATCTGTAGAATCCATTTTTCCTGCTGTATCCACATACCAAAGACTACAAGTAAGATGAGATTGTTTAGCAGCAGGGGCATAGTTTAAAAGGGTTTCCATGTATGCTCGATATGCATAGGTATTATTAGGTGGTGATACAAGTTTTTGGTTTAAATAAACATCAAGTTGACTAAAAAGTGAATGCAGCCAATTATTTACAGGTGCTACTATTGTAGTAGATACCAAGTTAGTTGAATCTTGATTTAATACTTTTGCCTTTATGTGGAGTAATGTATGAGACAAATCTATGTAGTCATCGCCGGTCCCAGGAACTTGAAACTCGATAGGTCCATCATCACCAAGAGATGAAATTGGTTTATAATGAATCCACAATCCATTTTCAATGCTAGTTTGTGTAGATGGTAGTGCAAACAAATCCAATTCTGACTTAACGCACTCGCAAGAATGATTATGAAGGAAAGACATATTTAGTTTGAAAATATATCTTTGATATTTTTTGGTTTTAGACAAAGTTTTTTCGCAGCTTTCACTTTAGCAGTTTGTAGGTGTGCTGCGCACACACATGCATAAGTAGTAATGTTGTATCTAGCTACCATGTATATGTATACTTAATAATATTGTACCTCACTACTTAGTACTAAGATTTTCAGTCAGTCAGACAGTAGCTAGTTGCCCGTCAACTGTATTACACGCTCTTCTACAATAAATATGTCATTAAGTTATGCAATCTTTCATTATGGTCACCCGTAGAGACGCATATGGAGACAGCTCCTAAACTGGTGACACCGACGTGATAGACGTGATCGACGTGATATTAACACAGTAGTGGGCAATTTTCGCGTGTGTTGTGATCGGTCGGACAATTCATAATAGTAACATGAGTGTGCCGCTTCCGCCACCGCCACAAAACGTGCCGCTTGTTAACGTGCCACTCGTCCAGGACATCCAGCTGCCCGCGCCACCGCCCATTATGGCGCCAGGTGTAGATTCAGTGTCTCTACAGTCCCGGCTCTCGGACTTTTGGACGGATCAGCCGCGCGTGTGGTTCGTACGCACGGAGGCTATCCTCACACCGCAGAGGATGAGCGATGAGGCGAAGTTTGACCTAGTCGTGTCCAAGCTGAGTAAGGAGGTCATCGCGCAAGTGACAGACATATTACTAAATCCACCTCCTACCCACAAGTACGACGCACTTAAAGCTCGATTGCTCCACATCTATGAGGAGTCAATGTCGAGACAGATCGAGAAGCTTATGAGCGAGCTAGAGTTGGGCCAGCAGAAACCATCCCAGCTGCTCCGTCGGATGCGCGAGCTCGCTACTGATAAGGTTCCTGATGAAACTCTTCGCGTGCTGTGGCAGAATCGTCTTCCGACACAGGTGCGAGCCGTGCTCACCGTGTCTGACTCCAAGGACTTAGACAACCTAGCAGCAGTCGCAGATAACGTCATGGAGGCTGTGCGGCCTTCCTATGCCGCCGCCACTACCTGCGCTGCGCCAGCGCCGACATCTTCTGCTGCCCTTGACTTGGCCCTGTTGAGGGCTGAGGTGGCTAAAATAAAGGCTACAGTGAACCAGATCGATCAGCGGAGGTCGCGGTCTCGTCCCCCTGATCGCACCCGTCATCGTTCGCAGTCCCGGCGCCGTAGCGGTTCCCGCCGTCCCAAGAAGGAGAACTACTTGTGCTTTTACCACTACCGGTTCAGGGAGAAGGCAAACAAGTGTACGGAGCCGTGCGCGTGGAAACATAAGCTGCCGGAAAACTGAGCGGCGAGGTACAGTCCGAGGATCTCGAGGTCTGTACCATTGTTCCATTTGATCGTTTGTGTGTGTCAGATATTAACTCTGGGCTTAGATTTTTAGTCGATACAGGTGCCAATGTGTCTGTTTTACCAGCTGTGAGAAAAGACCGTGCAAACCAATGCAGTGAATATAAATTATACGCAGCTAACGGTAGTGAAATCGTAACTTATGGTACCAAGACACTAGTGTTAAATTTAAACTTACGTCGACCTTATCGTTGGGAATTCGTGGTAGCAGATGTCAAACAACCAATTTTGGGCGCAGATTTTTTAGCGTATCACAGGTTACTAGTTGATTTAAACGCGCGTAAATTAATAGATAGAACCACAGAATTGAATGTTTCGGCATCTGTTGTCAAGGTATCCCAACCTAGTGTTAAAACTATTGATTTGAATCATCCGTATCAAGATTTATTGTTAAAGTACCCGGACATTACTAAACCGGCGTCATTCCGAGAAACTGCGAAACACGATGTCGTCCACCATATCGAGACCTCTGGTCCCCCCGTGCACGCGAAAGCGCGCCCGTTGCCACCCGACAGGTATAAAAAAGTTAAAGAAGAATTTCGCATCATGCAGGAACTGGGCATCTGTCGTCCTTCGAAGAGCGCGTGGGCTAGTCCACTCCATGTAGTTCCTAAGAAAAATGGAGATATAAGACCTTGTGGGGATTATCGCCAGCTGAATGCGATAACAAAGCCCGACAGATACCCGATTCCTCGCTTGAATGACTTTACTTTTATTCTCCCGGATAAAAATATATTTTCGAAATTAGATATTAATAGAAGTTATCATTTTATACCTGTCGCGCTAGGTGACGTGGAGAAAACCGCTATCATAACACCATTTGGGCTTTTCGAGTTTCCCCGAATGACCTTCGGTTTAAGGGGTGCAGCGCAAACCTTCCAGCGCTTTATGGATTCCATTTTACAAGGGCTTGATTTTGTCTTTTGTTATTTAGATGATTTACTTATCGCTAGTGACAACGAAGTTCAACACAGGCAGCATTTAGAAATAATTTTTAAAAAGTTTAATGAATATGGAATTTCAATAAATTTGGCAAAATGTTGTTTCGGACAAACAAAACTAGAATTTTTGGGACACGAAATTAGTACTGAAGGTGTCAGGCCGTTGCAAGATAAGGTTCAGGCAATTGTGGAATTTCCGAAGCCGAAAACTATTTCAGAGCTAAGACGTTTTCTCGGCATGGTTAATTTTTATCGATCTCATCTCCCCAACGCTACTTTATATCTAACAGAATTAAATAAATATCTTAAAAGCTCAAAGAAAAATGATAAAACTCTTATCGTCTGGAATGATAGTGCGAACGAAGCATTTACGCAGTGTAAGGCAGGTCTCACACAGGCCGCTACATTGACGTACCCTAGAGTGGATTCCGCACTCGCTATAATGACTGACGCATCTAATACATGCGTGGGAGCAGTCTTGCAACAAAAGGAAGGAGATATCTGGAAACCATTGGGTTATTTCTCAAAAAAATTGACCACCACCCAACAGCGATATAGCACCTACGATCGCGAGTTGCTCGCTATATACTTAGCTATAAAACATTTTCGGAAATTATTTGAAGGTCAAGAAATAACCGTGTATACGGACCATAAACCTTTAACTTTTGCATTTCAAAAGGTAGGACGCGATGAAAGCGAAACGCCTCGGAGAACGAGACATTTAGCTTACATAAGCGAGTTCACTACAAATATAAAACATATAACCGGTAAGAATAACATTGTAGCCGACACCTTATCACGCGTCGAAGCCGTGATTATGCCAACTGCGTTGAATTTCGATGACATTGCAAATGAACAGCGTAGCGATAGTTATATTACGAATTTTATGTCTGGTTTAAATACCGATAATATTTTGTTGAAAGAACTAGTTATACCTATGTTAGACAAGCCTATTTTTTGTGAAATGTCTACCAATATAGCTCGTCCGTACCTACCGGAAAAGTTTCGACGCCTAGCTTTTGATAGTTTGCATAATTTGAGCCATCCTGGAATTCGGTCTACACGAAAAATGTTAGCTAAAAAGTATTTCTGGCCGAGTATGAATCGCGATGTTTCTTTATGGGCAAAAACGTGCATACTATGTCAACGTTCTAAAGTTAACAGACATACGGTATCGAATTTGACTAAGTTTTCGGAAGTAGATCGTTTCGAGCATGTGCACATCGATATCGTGGGCCCTCTTGAGATTTCACCAGATGGTTATAGATACTTACTCACGATAATTGATAGGAGAACTAGGTGGGCCGAAGCATTTCCGTTACGCGACATTACGGCAGAAACTGTTGCCAAACATTTATATGAGGGTTGGATTTGTCGTTACGGTTGCCCGATGAAGTTAACTAGCGACCAAGGTCGCCAGTTTGAGAGTAGTCTTTTTAACCAGCTGTTAAAAATGTTGGGGGTTAAAAGAATTCGAACTACTCCTTATCACCCGCAAAGCAATGGCGCAGTCGAACGTTGGCATCGTTCTTTAAAGACAGCACTTTCGACTCGCCTGTCACATGGATCTTGGGTGGAAGAGCTACCCACGGTATTACTGGGGCTTCGCGCGGCCGGCCGCAGCGACTCAGGGGTTAGCGCCGCCGAGTTAACTTTCGGACGAAACTTACGTCTACCAGGAGACTTTTATGGCAATTCTTCGAACAACTGTAATGTCAACGACTATTGTTTAGTAGATAAGATTAGAGATACTATTCGTAGTTATAAGCCTACATCCGACAATTCACGTAAATGTCAAAGTTTTTTTGTGCACAAAGACTTACGTAACTGTGAATATGTCTTTGTTCGGGACGATTCAATACGTAAACCTTTGAAACCACCCTACGACGGTCCATATCGCGTGATCAAAAGGGCTTCAAAAGTTTACCTAATTCAATTACCCGATAGGCAGGTACATATTTCTATTGACAGATTAAAGCCTGCATATGTGTTAAAGGAATGCGATGGTAACATAACAACGCCAAGCGACAGTAACGCTGACAACGCAGCGGATGTGGTGCCTGCGCATGTACGGTTCGCGTTACCGCCGCCCACACCGGTGACATCGTCGTCGCCCGGCCCTAGCAACCCGATAAGCGTGAAAACAACGCGAAGTGGTCGCATTGTTAAATTACCTTCACGATTTAATATAAGTTAGTGTTAACATAAAATGTATTATATATGCAATATAATTACATGTTTAAATAATATTCAAGTTAGCTAGTATGGATGTGAAAGTATTATTTGCATTGTTAGGTGCAGAATATTTTCATTCAGACTATTCAAGTTACATTACAAATACAAATTGAATGTAATTTTAGATGTATTGTGTTTTGTATTTTGCGTTATTTTGCGTGTACTGCAGTTTCATTTATGTTTAGGTAGTTAGTTTAGTTATAATGTATTTCGTTTCATTTGAAATATTTCCTTTGCAGAAGCATTGGGGCTAAAAGTTTTACAATTTTTACTATGGGCAATTATCAAGAAAAACCAGTTATTGTTTCTCAGGCTCAGAATACTATAGAGAATAAAGTGGATAATTTTCAAATATGGTTATATGTGATAGCCAGTTTTATGGGAGCAATAATATTGTACACTATTTGGATGAAGTTTAATAAGAAGTTCAAAAACTGGCTTCGCCATCAAGTGTTCATGGCCAGCGTTCCAATGTCGGGCCAGAATATGGGTCAGATGATGAGCGCCTCTAGCGCCAGTCTGCAGCACGCGCCCGCGCCTGCCGCGGCAGCCGCTCACTTCACAGGGATCTCCGTACAGCCCTGCGCTTCAGCGCATTAACAAGTGTTTATTATATAGTTTTAAGTTTTTGTATTCTTTTTGTAAAGGGGGAAGTAATGTAGGTGTGCTGCGCACACACATGCATAAGTAGTAATGTTGTATCTAGCTACCATGTATATGTATACTTAATAATATTGTACCTCACTACTTAGTACTAAGATTTTCAGTCAGTCAGACAGTAGCTAGTTGCCCGTCAACTGTATTACACGCTCTTCTACAATAAATATGTCATTAAGTTATGCAATCTTTCATTATGGTCACCCGTAGAGACGCATATGGAGACAGCTCTTAAAAGTTAATGGTGGAATGAACGATGTCAATCGTTTTCTTTTAGTTTTATACCCAGATCCAGTCATGTTAAATTGATCAGTTTTCTCATCAGCCTTTCGTTTTAAATTCGTACTAACTTGCTTTAGACGATCTTTTATTGAGGCTTCCATAGGACGGGCTTGAACCATATCCGATAAAAGTCCTACTCCAATGCTTAATGCCTCCTTACCAATCACTCGAGCACCACATGAAAGTAAAGGTAAAACTGATCTGAATAACCCCCCTAAGAAGCTCCCAATACCATGACCGCGTTGATATGGTGAACCCTTATAAATTACTCCAACTCCTGATCCAGCTTGATGTGTATAATAATTTTCATATGGACATTTATGATGATCACGAAGAGAATTCATTATTATAATTTTCGGAAATGTAGTTTAATACACACGGTTCCAAACTGGAATGGTATTTTTTGTCCTGTACTCGATCTTATAACTATTTCCAACGTATCGAACTCTCTTCGCATAACAGGTAAGTAGTGAGGTTGAGAGAAAACGTGCATTTTATTTGCACCATAAATGTATTTTGTAGGATCTAATGAAATGACTCTTAATAAAGGAGTCATAACATCACCCACAATCTGAGGATCGATAATGTCGCAATATAGAAATAGTTGAGATGGTAGCCCTAAGTGTAAATTAGCAGGACACTTTCCAAAATTTCTCTCTAGGAGATTTTTATTTGGTTCATAACCTAGCTGTAAACTTAATTTGGGTGATAATGTTACGGATGTTATATTTTTATCCAATACCGAAATAGACACAAATTTTGTTATTTCATCATAGCGAAATTTCAAGTTCTCTCCGATACCATTTAACACTCTTAAAATATGCTCAACGTTATCATAGTTGGTAGCTGGAATATGTTTTTTGTTGTACACTGTGGATGGTTTATCTTCATTAGGCATTAACATAGATTTTGTAATGTATATGTCGGAGTGTCTATAAAATACCCGGTTGGATCGAGGTTGAATGGAGGGTATATCGAGAAACCCCCTCTTGTGTCGGTAGTATAAAGTTCACTGTAGGTGCCGTGCGAGGGAGATTCCACTTAAGTCATTCAACGAGTGTGGTCATTCTACTAGTGTTACGATAGTGTTGTGGTTCTGTTCGTTGTTGTAATTCCTCTAGTGCAGACAATGAGGATTGGTGTTGCTGAGATGCTGTCCAGTGTTACATTGAGATAAGTAGTGTTGCTGTCGGTTTACATATTTTGGTGTTATCATGTAATTACGTACCTCACGTTACACTGGTGTGTAATTGTGGCAGAGACGTGTTACGGTGTGGTCGAACTGTAATTTCACTATACTGAATGTATAGTGCGTTACGTTGTCTTATTACTGATAATGATTAATTGCGTAAGCACGAGAGCAAGTTGAACATCCGCTCTCACACTTTTTATTTTTAACAGTTAACGCTATCCTGATGTATCTCAGAGATCAAAATTGCGATCCTCTATTGTAATCTCCGACATCAGAAGTGGGATCTCCTGTTGTCATTTCCGATATCAGATGTGGGATAAAGTCCCTGATACTGCCCACCTATAACCTTTGAATAGTGTGAGGGTTATTACGTTAGTGAAATACTATGATTCGCCTCGCGTTTTGTTTTTGTGTTCAATTTCTTAAATCAAGTTTATTGTAGTATTTACGACACTGAAGAATCATTAAAGTGTAGAGTAAAAGTTTAAAGTGAAATGTTTTAAGCCAAAAGTTAAATCTTTTTGTTCGATTAATGATAAAAAGTACCCGCAAGTACTTTCATTATTTCTTAACGTACCCAAATATGATAACAAATGTCGAAAGAAATGTTGAAGGTATTCTAAATGAGTTATAGTTTGCATTCAGTGGAAGTTTAACTTGCTCAAGTTATGTTATAATTTGATACACGAGGTGTGATTTACATGGGCTAGTTTTAAAATTCAAAATGTTTAAACGATGTACCGAAAAAAGGAAAATGTTTACTTTAACGTGCTATGAATTAAAAACATCAAGTAGTATTTTTGTGTTCTAATGTGTTGATAAGTGTTACAGTTTACTGCGAGTATTACGTAGTCGATAAAATTGGGATTTGATGTTGAGGGCTTCGTGGAAGATGTGGTGCTGTGGCACTCGCTCTTGGGTGGAAATATGCTGTAGAATTATGACGCCGCGGACATTTTATTTGCCGCAGCTACAGATCACCGTTTGATACAACATGAGTAAAGTAAATTTATCCTAAACATTGTCTTAAAAATATTTTGTAAGAATAAGTGTTTACATTTTTAATTGGTTGCGAAAAATGCCGGAAAACCAAAGTATAATTGACGAAGTTGAAGTAGAGCAAATTAGTTCCGACTTTGAAGAGAGTATTTAAATTTACATGAGGATCGGACCATACCAAAGGTTGTCGTGTAGCCGCAGCTCAGTATATGGTGCCCTGGAAAGGCAAATGGTGTCCCGAGAGTAGTACTGCATTTTTTAAAATTAAGTTCAGACTGAATCTCTTTAGTGTTTTCTTTTATGTTACAGGAGCACGTGTGATGTGACTGTGAGGCGAGTTTGTGCCTTGCCTAGTCGGAACGAACAGACAGGTCCAGTTGTAGCATGGCCTGGTTTCGGCAGATGCGTATGCGCGTATACGCAGGCGCCATCCCGGAGCGTGCGTATGCTATACATGGTGGTTCCTCGGAAGTCGTGTACGCAGAAGGGTTATATTCTGTATGCGCGGAAGTAGTGTTCTCTGAACATGCATCAAGCTCCGTCCTGGCAGGCACTGTCCTGGTTTACGTTTTTTTCGTGGTTAACGTAGGATCTCGTAAGTTCAAGTACGAGTATGTGTGAGATACTTCGTATGGAGATGTGTGCTTAATTATGAAAGCGAAGTTAGTTCACGGTATGAGAGCGTACTTCTGTTTGAGGGCCTCGTATGCGTGATGGATAAGAGGATAGGCAACTGTGTATGTTGTCCTGATAACTAACAACTCGTTTCTAACGCAGATCCCGATGACGGCAACCCCGAAGATGCCTGTGAACCCTCAGGTGCTCCTGCTGATCCCGTTAACGCTTCGAGTGCGTGGTGCGGCGCGACAACTCGCTGCTGCGAGTGCGGCACGACCTGTGCTGTGTTCTTTAAGTCACGCGCGCTTGCCACATGGTGGTAGCTAAGTATGGTGTGTGCTGGTTTGTTTTAACAGCCACGTGCGCTTGCCTTATGCCTGTCGCAGAGGCAAGCAGTGAGCGACGTGTTGACGTTTATCATGTGAGCAATCCCAGCGGTTTGCTGATGAATACTGGTGAGTCGTATCCATTTTATTATGATTCTGGGCCGAATGCCCTCTCATCAAAGATTGTGTTGTGGCAAAAGTGTAAAAATACCCCCTTGATCATGTGAGGAAGATCCCCGATCACCAAGTTCCTTGAGATTTAGAAGTCATAGTTGATGACAGTGAGACCAATTTTGATTAAGAATGGCTTGTATATTCATACTCAAAACCTTAGACCGCACCTCATGAGTAACATGTGGCGATGGGTCTGTAGGAAATCGTTGGTGCGATTTCTGTCTGTGTTGGTGCATATTTGGCGGCAGATATGTAGGGAATCGTTGGTGCGATTCTGGCATATGTGGCGGCAGATGTGTTGTAGCATATTTGGCGGTGGATATGTTGAGAATCGTTGGTGCGATTCTGGCATATGTGACGGCAGATATGTAAAGAATCGTTGGTGCGATTCTGGCCTGTGTTGGTGCACAGAGCCCCTCGTGTATTGTAGCATATGTGACGGCAGATATGTCGAGAATCGTTGGTGCGATTCTGGCATATGTGACGGCGGATATGTGAAGAATCGTTGGTGCGATTCTGGTCTGTGTTGGTGCACAGATTTCAATGAAAGTTTCACGAGTTGAATATGCATTGCTTATGAATTGTAAAGAGTAACAAAATTGTTAAAATTACTGTGTTGGAACTTGTTGATCGGACCTTCCACGATAAATCATGTTGTGCAGGAAGCACTGTGTAAGAAGCCTTAATAACAAGGCATTGTCAATTGTGACAGTT